TGGCGGTGGGAGGGGGGGGAGGGGGGGGGGGGGGGGGCTGCCATGATACGCCACCTGCCGGGTGCTTGCATGCTGGGAGGTGGGATCACACAGAGGATACAGGGTGTCCTTGCCACGAGGGGAACACTCCCGGTGGGCTCTGCAGGCGCTGGCACTCTCACTACCCCTCTGCAAGAAGGCAAGCAGGATTAAATCACCGCTGGTAAAATTAGCAGATGACACACAGGTGGGCAGGTGGCAAAACCTGGGCCGGGGAGCAAGGCAAGCTGCTGGGGACGAGCCAGGTCATCGCAGAGCTGGGCACAACCGGCAATCCAAGGCAGCCATGGCCCCGCACTGGTCACGGGCTGCTCAGCACCCCTGGGGCCTCTTGCTGCCACCTGGTGCAGGGAGAGATGATGGGGGCTGAGCACAGCTGTGGGGCAGGTGGGTGGGTGGGTGGCTGCAGGGGTGCCCTGAGAAGAGCCGAAGTCCCTGGAGAGCCAGGGCTGGGAAGGGGGGATGGCAACCGGTGCCTGCTAAATTTAGAGCCCACTCAGGGGAAGAAAAAAAAAAAAATCGCAGGCTCCAAATTTAGCTGGTTGCAGCTCCTGTCGAGTGCTGCTCCATTGCGCTGCCGCTGACAACGCCCCTTCATCCCCGGTGCCCCAAACTGAGCACCTCCCGTTGGAGTCCCTGAAGGTGGGGACCCTGCGCATGGCTGGGAATTGGGGAACCCTGGTGCACCCCAGGACCAGCCGAGTATTTCATCACCATCTTTATTTGAGGCAAGCCCACAGCAGTCCAGGTGTACATGGCAACACGCGCTACACTATAGACACCATTTCCATGCAGGCAACCATGGCTACACACACAGCAGGAGGATGGGGCTGGCTCCGGGTGGGGGCTCCCATGGGAATGGGGTTCTTCAGCTCTTGGGGGTCCCCCAGCATGGCACTGGCTCAGTGGGGTGCTCACGCACTGGCACCGGTGCCTGGGGCTGGGGAGGATGTTTGGGGGCTCCTGCTCCATCCCGCAGCCTTCGGGGAACGAACAGAGCTGAGCCAGGAGACACCGAGGGGGATGAGGGGTTTCAGAGCCTCGAGTGCCCTTTGGCTGCATGGAGTATTCCTCCCTGGAGTTGGGGACAGCCAGGCTGGCGTCCCAGCCCCTGCGGGTCCCCTCCTGGACATTTGTACCATTGGACTAAGGAGGTCATTAGCTGCCAGGCCCGTTGAACCATGGCTTTGGCATGGTGGGAGCGGATCAAAGCTGCGTCCCCTGGGGGAGGTGGCAGGGACCATCTCACTGATCATCAGAAGGGGATGTCTCTATCAGAGCCCATCGCTCTTGGCAGACTGGTGTGGGTGTGTCATCATCCTGCTGCCCCAGGGTGGTGGCCCTCGGCTCCCTGTGGCCTGCAGGACACGTGTCTGAGTGCTCCCCCCGGCTTTGAGCTCAAACGAGCACTCCTTGCCCCCAGCGTGCTGCCAGACCCATGGGTGCGGGCATGGGCACGGTGCCTGCTTGCTTCCCCTGGCTCCACCACCACCACCACAGAGAGACCCGAGTGCTGTGGCAAACCACAGCAGAGAGACCTGAGTGCTGCTCTTTGCCCAGAGCCCAGCGAACTGTGACTAGGTGCAAGGAGCAGGTCTGTGGTGAAAACCGTCGCTGATTCCATACAGGCACTTTCTAATCGGAGCCCTGGGATAAAACCCCAGGTTGAGGCCGAGTGGGCAGGGAAACGGAGCCAAACCTGCTGCTATAAATGCTGCTGACCTCATGTGTTGTCATCCCATGGATCAAACTCATCACCCCGCCTGCCAGCAAAGCTCTGGAGATGGTTGAGGTTTTTTTCTTTCACCCCCCCCCCCAAGTGCGGGGGCTGCGAGGCACAGCTGCTGTCGGGGACGGGCTGGGGAAATGGAGGCTGCTGGTTCATGGGATCCGGGGTTTATTTGGCCTAGCTCCCATATGAAAGCATCACCTGGCTACTCATTAACGGCTGCCCCGGGTGACGAGGAGGAGGGTGAATTTACGCTCCGCGGGAGCGTGCCTGTGTACGCAGGTCACGGCTCCGGCGAGCTGTGGTGACCTCTGCACCCGCTGGCTGGGCCTGTGCTCGTTCCCGCTCGCTCTGTGGTGCAGGGCCCTCTCCTCATGGATTCTCGGCTGCCACTGGTGCTCTCCTGCAAGCACGTCCCTGGGTGTCGCATTGCAGCAAGCACCTGCCCCCCAGCTCGCCCTTGCCCTGCCCAGTGCTGGTGCCGAGAGCAGGAGGAGAGGGAGCCACGGCAGCCCACCAGAGCCTCCTCCTGCACCCTAGCTGAGGAGACTCGTGAGCTGGAGGCCGGCTGGGGCTCCCCTGGGGCGCTGCCAACTCCTCCTGTGTCAGCAGGGCCCTACAGCCACTGTCAGAAATGTCCCCAAGCTAAAGCTTGAATGGGCACACAACAGGCACTGTCCCTGCCCCAGGAGGGTGACGAACAGCTCCCTTTCAGCTCACTGTTCACTCTGAAACTTAATGACAGCAGCACCCTCTGCACTGCCAGGGTGATGCTATTGAATGGGGACCTGCAGCACGAGCAGGGACCGGGTGCTGGGTCACCAGGGAGGACAGGGTGGCTCGTCCCAGCCAGGGCTCCCTGCCCTGTGGCAGGGGCATAGCGGGGACAAACCGCAGTTTTCCTGCCTGCAGCAACATCCACAGGGCACATGCCACTCCACAGCAACACTCCACAGGGCTTGCTCACAGCAGCACAGGGGCCTCCGCCAGACCTGAGGGAGCTGCCTGGGAGCAGAGGCTGATTCAGGAGCTGGGCATCCCTCCATGCAGGGCCACCGCAGGAGGCAGTGGGTGCCTGCAGAAGCAACCAGCAGCCCTTTCCGTGGGCCAGTCCTGCCAACTCCCGGCTCCTGGGAGCACCATGAAGCGGGGCGCACATCCAGGCCACTGCCTCCTCTGTCCATTCGTCCGTTTTCTGGTCCCTGTCGCATCCTGGGTAGAAGCTGCATCCCGCAGTCTGTCCCCACGCGCCTGGTGGGAGGACACATGGGTGATGCCACTGAAACCTGCCCATGCATCCCGGCCGGGCTCTGGCAGCTGGCTGGGTGAGGAGAAAAGGAGCGGCCAGACGGTGAGCAGCAGGCACCCGTGCAGGCAGGGGGCTGGCAGCAGCATCTGTGAAGCTCCTCGGCTTCGGGGTGGGTTGGGGGGAGACCTGGCCATGTGGAAACCCAGGTGCAGCAGCTCCCCCTGCTCCCTGCAGCCATCCAGGAGCATTGGAGGCAGCAACGGATGCTGCCGGGAGAGCACGGGCCTGGTGAAGCACATGGGGAGACATGTAAGAAGGCAGCAGGGGTCATTCCAAACAAGAAGAGCTTCTGGATGTCTGCCCCCAGGGTCCCCAGCCCCTGGCAGAGGCTGCAGGCTTTAGGAGAGAGGAAAGTCCACGTAGAAGGAGGTGCCGTGGGTGGAGCTGGGGGGACAGCCAGCAGAGAAGTGAGGTGGTGTTCGTGTCCAACCCGGGCTCATAAAAAGAAGGTGACCCCCAAAGCCCCCCCCAAGTTTGCTAAATAAATACATAAATACAAACACGAAGCTCAGAGCTGGGGCACTGGGGTTTCCCAGGGTCAGCAGCTCCTCCCAAAATCCCTTTTTTGCCGTTTCCACGTCAAAACACAGCCTCCTCCCGTCCACCCCGTGCTTGTCCCCACAGCCCAGGCACCATCTGTCCCCAGCCCGTCCCACGCCTCACGGCTCCCAGGGCCGGCAGCGAAGGCTTAAAACCTGTCCTGAAGTGCTAGCCGAAGGCATGGCAAAGACCATCTCCTCTAGGCTAAGAAAATAAATAACTTCTCCAATGTGCAAGGGTTGGTGGACAGAAAGCCAGTGCAGCAAAACATCGAGTGTCCTTCAAGAGGATTAAAAATAAATAAGTGAAGCTTGGCATTTTCTCCGGAGCACGTTCATTTGCAGCTCTGCCGGGGAGGGTGGGGGGGTATTTAAATAAAGGGAAAAAAACCCCAGTCCAAGTGCTGCTCTGGTGAACGCGCTCCCCGCACGTTGGCCTGCCTTCACCCACCGCTTCCATCCCGGCTGGAGAAGACGCTTGTGGTGGTTAGGAAGGAGCCTCCTGCACCTTCCCAGGACAAATCATCCCCGCTGGGCTTGGGGGGGTTGTTTTCTCTCCCTGCCACAGAATGGGGATTTGGGGACCCCTTGCAGCGGGCGGGTGTCCGGGACACCAGGTGCCTCTGGGCCATGGCTCCTTGCACGCTGTTTAATCTCGAGTTCGGTTTCTCCTCTTCAGGAAAAAGAAGCTGCTTTTCTGGGGGGGGCCCAGCAGCATCGGCACTTGGCTTTTATGTGTAATTTTGACCTAAAAAGAAGTGAAGAACCAAGCTCAGTAAGGGGCTCCCAGGCTCTGAGCCCCCCTGGGCATCCCCCAGCCCAGGGACCCTGGGGGGTGACCCGAGCAAGCCAGGAGCAGCTCAGCACCCAGCATTGGGTGAGGAGCCACTGCCACCCCCCAGCTGGGTCGTTAAACGGTTTGCTGCATGGGAGCAACAGCTCCGGAATCATGTCCAGGCAGCACTGGGACGGGCAGAGGATCTCTCCTCCAGGCAAGCTGCCTGCCGGATGGTGGGGGACCCCAATGCAGCCCCCCCTCAGTAAGGGATGCTGCTGTGCCCACCTGCCTGGCAGGGGACGAGCATGTCCCTGTCCCCACAGCTCCCACGATGGCTTTCCATGAGCTTGGGGCTGGCATGGGTGCAGACAGAAGTCACAGGTGGCTGGGCTCTGCGGCCACCCACCAGCAAGTGCAGGAGCATCCCTCCAACTCCAGAGGCTTTGCCACGCTGCACAGGGAGCCACGGCTGCCCACCCTGCTGCCAGCCCCTGCCTGCCCCATCCCGCCATGCTGCCAGCTCCTGCCTGCCCTGTCCTGCTGCGCTGCCAGCCCCTGCCCATCCCGGCTGCCCATGGCAGAGGTGCCCCCTCCCCAGGGACTCACGGTGCAGGACGGCTGCATCCAGGGCTCCCCGTCCACCTGCATGGGCAGCAGCTTGGATGTCCTGCAAGGCACAAAGAGAGGGAACACAGGGTGACACAGGCACCAGCTTTTGCCATTGGTTGGGCGCTCAGCCGGGACGGGGACAAATACCTGATGGTGACAGATGAACACTGGGCCAGTCTCTTCCCAGCACTCTTCAGCCCCGTGTAGATCTGCCCCATCTCCATCGCGCCCTCTAGCCCCACCACCTCCAGGAGGTGGTCGCTGAGGTCTGCAAGAGAGAGGGATCTGAGTCGGTCCCCCTGTCCCGGGGGATCCCCTGCCTTCTGCCATCATCTGAAACATCAGGGCCAGCACAGTGGGGCTGGTGGCACGATGGGGATGCATCACGATGTCCCCTGTGCCCCGAGATCGCTGAGCTGGGCGTTTGCAGCATTGGGCAACGCTGCTGTCCAAAATCTCTGGAGCAAAAATACTCCCTATCTGAAACAGCACCCAGTCCTGCATGGCTGCAGGGTGGCAGCCCGGATCCCCACCAGCTCTTTGACTGCTTGTTTGCAGTGTTGTATGAAATGGCGGCAGAACCCCACTCCCCCTTGGGTGTCCTGGGGCGCTGTGGCCCCCCGGGAGCTAGGATGCACGGGGGAATCCTCCCTGGGAGGGATCTGCTCAAATCCCAGGGCATCACTCCTTTTTCCAGCTCCTCCTGCTCTTCTGGGCCGCCAGCGAAGGTGCCTGACGCTGGGGCAACTCACTCTATCTCATTCCCTTCAGGGTCCTCTTTCACCCCTGGTGGAACCCCCCACAGGAGAAGCCCCCTGAGCCCCCCCACACCCTCCTGCCCACCTGCAAGAAGGGATGTGCCCAGGGGACCAACCCCGCTGCCTCTCGCTACCTTTGGAACTGGCCTTTGCTCTGCCCTGCTTCCTGTTCCCATGAGCCTGCCCGGTGAGGGACAGTCAGTGACAGCCTAGGATGGCTGGTGACACCGCCGTCCCAGCAGCCACGCAGCAAGGGGGCTGTTTCCCAGCCCCAGGCTGTGGGAGGTGCCGGGTGGAAAATATGGGCACTTTGCCTATTTTGCTGGCTGCTTTCTAACCCACTGCTCTCTGATGGGGAACCCTGCCAGCACTTTGGGCTGCCTGCACCCTGCCCATGCCCGCAGGGATGGCTCCAGTGGCTGCAGCAGCGGGTGCGAGGTTCCAGCTGGGGCATAGCACAGGTACCATGCTGTTCCCAAAACCCCCCAGCTAGGTTGGCAGCGCTGCGGCGGAGCCTGGGAAGAAGCTTACAAAAGCCATCGGTGCCAGCTCTGCAGCTCGTCTTCCGACTCCTCCTCTGCAGCAGCGGGCACCCGGCCCTGCAGTGGCTGCCTGCCAGTCCCACGAGGTGCCGGGGGCTGCCCAGCCTCATGCCCACAGGTGACAGGTCCCATCTGGGCACCCCCCAAGCCGTGATCCCTGAAGGGTACGGGGAGAGGTGCCTGCCAGGGCGTGGGAGCCACCTCCTCTCTGGCCACCATGGCACGGCATAACCAGCCCTGAGAAACGCGGTGCTGGGCCATACCCAGGCAGGCAGAGCCATCCTCCTTCGCCATCTTGGCAGATCATTCTTGGGGTCACCCCAGCACCCCAAAAGACAGTGAGCTGATAGCAATCCCTCCAGTGCTGTTGCTCCAGCACCATGTGCACTGAGCTGCGGCCAGAACCGGTGGCTGCCCAGCTCCCCTGTGCTAACCCCGCTGACCCCATGCATGCCACAAACCCCAATCGCTGCCAGGCCCCGCTGCTTACCCTGCACGCAGAACTTGAGCTCCTTGGTGTCAGTGACCACCATGGCGTGCAGCTTCTCTGGTGCCTTCTTCCCCAGCCGGTTGTAACCGCGCTGCTTCTTGGTCTCGCCCCAGAGGTTGGAGCCGCCATACATGCTGGGGATGTTGAGAATGGCGATGCCCTCCAGGGACGTGTTGCTCAGGTCTAGCAGGGTCCCATCGCACTGCCGGGCACATGGGCAGCGTCAGGCTGCAGGGTTGGGGGGAGCTGGTGCCTGGCACCATGGAGCCCAGCCTCCTCTCTCTGCCTGCCTGCAGAAGGAGTGGGGCTCCCCGAGCATGGTGTGCCGCCGGACGGTCCCCAGAGCAAACCTGCTCCAGGGTGGCATGGGCAGCCCTGGGGCGGCTGGGGCTGGAGGTGCAAATACCCCCCAGCTTTGCTTTTCTAGGGCTGACAACCACCATGTCCCTTTTCTTGTGCTGCTTTCCCCTCTATTTTGATATGAATTTTACTACACATTTGAGATGGCAGTTTTGAAAAGTGAATTTCCTATGGGAGCACATAAAACCTCGGGCGGGCTCAATGCTGCGACCCAAAATAGGATGCAATACCACCTCGGCCCTGCAGCAATCCAAGCATCTCCAGCACATGCTTCCCCACCTCCCCTTGTTCAAATTGACCCCAAAGAATCAGGAAGTTTGGCTGCCCAAAAACTAACTCAAACCAGTTTGTTTTTCAAGTGCAATTTGGAAACTAGAAATGAGGCTGGAAGGAAATGACAGGAAAGGTGTCAGAGGAAAAAATGTCAGTTTTTGGAAAGAAAACTGCAAGGCAGCGCACAGAACTGGTATCCCGGGCTTCGCTGTCGCAGGAGGACTGCCCCAGCTGAAAATCCCCTGTAAAAGGTAAAATATCTGTTGCCTGCCGCTTTCCCACAAGACTGGAAGCAGCAGCCATGGAAATGCATTTCTTAACTTCAGGTCTTCTCACTCTCGCACTACCCAGATGATGGTGGATCCCCTTTCTAGATACCTCTGGAGGAAGCAGCTGCTTTCCCATTCAACTGTATTTTCTCTAGAGTGTTTGTATTTTCCTTTACGCATCTGCTTTCTACCTGCCACGTTATGCTTCAGCAAATACCAGCACATTTTTTTCCTTGCATTTTGGTGATGTGACGGCATTTCTGCCCTCTCTTGCTTTGCTGAGAGGAATGCGAATGGGCTGATGAACCCCTGCTGCTGCTTTGACTCCAGTTGTTTTCCTCTAGCAAAGAGTGAAGGTCTCGAGCTTATTTTTAATACCCTGTCAGTAAGCGCTGAGCATGCCGGCTGCATATATGCGGAGCTGGGCGCGCACATGAGCAAGCATCCCTGTATGCTCTGCCTCCCCTGATGCTCTGAGAACTTATTTTTAGCCTTGCGTTGAAAGCAAAAGGCAGGAATCTTCTGGTTTGGGAGTGAAGAGCTGTCTCTCCGAGGCTTGTAAAGGATGTAAATCCTTTCGTTCTCCATACATCTTAATGGTATTATGATTGGTAGGAACAGAAAAGACCCTAACACTCTGAGCAGCAGATACCGCGGTGAGAAGGCTCTGATTCCTCAACGGATGGACAAAACATCCCACGCCTGGCCGAGCCCAGCATCGCCCCTGACCACAGGCATCTTTCCTGCCTGCCTGCAAGGCGGCAGGTACTGACCCGGCTGCGGTGGGATGGGAGCAAGTCGGCTGCCTGGGGCTGCCTGGGCTGTGGGATTTCTGGGGATGCTGTGGGAGTCTGTTCCTGCCCGGGGGCGTGCGGGGTGGGCAGGACCACTGCTGCCCACGCCTGCCCACGCACACGTGTGCAGGGAGCCATTTCTCCCTGCGTAGCCCTCCCCTGTTAGCGTGCCAGCGAGCTACAATGGGCTCTTTGAGCAGGGGCAGCTGACGGGGTGCTGGCAGCGATGCTGGAAGTAGAAATTTGCAGCTGGGGAAAAAGCAAATTCATTTCCAGGAGCTGTAGGGGAACGAGTGCCAATTTCCAAAACAAAACTGCCATTTCTCTGCAAGGCTGACAGTTGCCTGGGAGCTGGAGGGAGGACAGGCTGCTGCTTTCAACTTCAAATACTGTGGGATTAACGCTTTCCTGCCTGTGTGGCGCAGCCGGTGCCGATGCACACTTGGCAGGGAGCGCACGGGGCACCTTGCAAGGAGCGGGGGGCAGCTCGCGCCCATCTCTGGCAGCATTGAATCCCACAGGCACGGACTTTATCTGCCCCGGGACGCTGGTGTGCGGCTGGTGAAGGGGGTGAGATGGCCGTGCCCCTGCTCCTGCCCCTTCCCACCTGCTGAGGGCACAGCTACCCTCTTTGGGCCTTGGGAAGGGCTGAAACTCCCTGTGTAGAAACAGGCTTCAAAGTCCCTCTGCCCACAGCCGCACATGCTGCACTGCCAGCTCCCCGGGCTCTGCCCACTCTCTGCCTGCTCTCTGCCCGCCGCCAGTGACCCTGCGACCACTGCCTGGTCCGACTCACGCCAGCCCTTTGCAGCAAGCAATGTTTTTTTCCCCTCACCCTCAAGCCTAAGTTATAAAAGGGTCGTTTATCCAGAGATAAGGAGAGGCGGAAGTTTACAGCAAAGCACGGCCCAAACCCCCGCAGCGCTAGTGGAGAAATGACAGTGCTCTTAGCAACCGCGGGCCCTCCTCCCCGCTCTAATTAAAGGCTGTTTCCATGTCATCCAACGAGGGCTGGGAGCAGACGCGGAGTTTACAGAGAGAATATTCCAGGCACGCTCTCGAATACAGCTGGAAGGGGGGGAAAAATGCAAGGCTATTCTTCTGCCTGCAGCTGGCCGGCTTTGCAGCAAGTGCCACGCGGTGGAAGAGCAGGTCCTACCAGCCACCGCATCCTCCTGCCTCCGTAAGGGGTCAAAGCTGCCACGGCACCCTCTCCCCGAACAGCCAAAAGCCTGCCTGAGGGACCCATGGGTGACATCTCCCAAAAAGCCTTTGTGCCATGGCTGGAGCCAGGGACCATCCCAGGAAACTCACCTCCACCTCGATGTAGTCGTGGAGCTTCTTGCAGGTGGCCGCAAAGGTCTCCGATGTCCCGAATTCGAAGTACCACAGCTTGTTCTTCATCCTGGGGCACAGAGATGTGTCAGCATCCCACTTGGGAGCAGTGCCTTGCCCCAGCCGCCCCCAGCCCAGCCGGCAGCAGGATGGGCTGCCAGAGCTTTTCTGGAGCCATTGCGATGGGGACACGAGCTGTTGATGGAGACACGAGCCATCGTGGGGAAGGACCACTGGCATCACAGCCCCAGGGAGCTGTGCTGTGGGACAAAGGGTGGCTCAGGCGGACCTGGCTCTGACACCCTGCAGAGGGGAAAGATGCGGGTGCTGGGTGGTCCCTCAGCATGGGACAGGGTGCCTCCACCAGGTCTCAGCAGAGCTGAGCACGGGCTGTCATCTCTCGACAGGGCTGCTGGGGACAGGGTACCCCACGGAGGGGATGTCCCCCACCTCAGCACCCTGCCTCAACACCCTCCCAGCACCCTGCCAGGCAGCCCCTGACCACTGCTCATCCCCTGCATCAATCGCTGTGCCAGGCTTCGAGGGGGAGCTGTAAGCTGAGGGGACCTGAATTTTAGAGCAGAGCCAGACGCTTTGGTCCATTCAGGGGTTTTCTAGCAGGTATTTCTGAACATGGGGATGGGGGTCACAAGCCACAGCTCCTAGTGCCGTCACACCATTGCCATGCATCCCAAGCACAGCAGGAGCGAGCTGCGACCTGCTGCCTGGCCTGCCCTTACTGCCTGGCCTGCTCCTGCCGGTCCCGGAATTCAGTGCTAATTATAAAGCATGGATGAATGTAATTGGGTGCGCGGCCAAGTTCGAGCAGCCTGCCATGCTGCACGGGGCTCGAAGGAGCACCCCAGACCCCCACCATGCCTGGGCCCTGCCCCCCGGCCATGCCTGGCACATCCCCTGCCTGTCCCCTAAGGTTGGCCGAACACCGCACCACCTCCTCGGGGCTGCTGCCAGTCCCATGGGGAGAGGAGCCCAGTGGAAGGGGAGCAGGCTCTGGCATGTCCCCTCAGTGCGGTGCATGGCAGCGGCGGGGTGTCCCCCCGCACCCAGCTTTGGGGGGGGACCACAGGCAGCCCTTACCTGCTGTTGAATTTCTCAGGGTGCTTTTCTCGCATGACATGGAAGCGGTGGGCGATGGAGGCGTCCTGTGGGGAGAGGGAGTGCAGAGACATCGGCAGCACAGCAGGGAAATAGAAAGCCCCCCTCTGCGCCCCACCGGCATGCACCAGGATAAGGGGGCTCAGCTCTTTGCCCTCACCGCCAGCCCCCATGGCACAGGGGCACAGCGCGGGGGCTATGACAAGGCAATGGAGGCACCCTCAGCCAGGCTGCTCACAAAGCGTTGAATGGGCTCGTTAAGCAAGACATAATTAGTGTGCTTGGCCTCCTTCCCTCATCACAGGGGCTCTGCATGGAGGTGATGCTGAGGGAGGGAGGAAGGGCTACCAGTGGGACAGCAGGGCTCTGGGGACACCCCAGGACCCTGCACCCCGACAGCTCCCCTGGCAGGGTGGCAGCTCTCTTGAAACTCATTGCAAACTCTCCTATGTGGGGTGGGGGGCGTTTAAGCCTGACTCGGAAGCTGTCACCAAATGCCACCTGCAGTGACATTGCCTGGCGTTAGCAGGAGCTGATGTGAAACCAGAAGCATCCCGCAGCGCTGCCGGGTGTGTGACCCATGCCATGGTGGTACTGCTTGGGCACTCATGACCCAGGACAAAAATGCTGCAAGTGCCTGGGAAAAGAAGCGCTTTCCACTTTGCTGTTCCCCCAAAGCCCTGCTGCTCCTGGGATCAACCCCTGTGGCATGGGGCTGCCATCATCCCTGGGCTCCCTAACGCTCTCATGGGGGAACGCAGGCCCGAGCACTAAAGCGCGGCTTTGCCAATGGGTGCCGTCTCGGCAAAAGCTTCAGGTGGGGGGTCCAGCAGATCTCAACCTGTCCCCAAGACTTCAAACTTCCCTGAACTCATTTAAGCTCCTTGCACACTTGCTCTTGCAACATTCCTGGTTGGGAAGAGAGAGATTCCATGCCTGTTTATGCATTTAAGTGCTGCCATTACAAATGAGAATAAAACCAGAGAAACAATGCCAGGAGGCAGGGGGAGGTTGAGCAAGGAAGAGCAGGGTGGGAGAGTCCCCGGCTTGGGAGACTCAAGCTCAAATGTAGAGTTTCACCAAACACTTACAAAGGCTTTTATGGTCTCTGAGGAATGCCACCAGGAACCAGCCCCTGCTCCTGGGAATTAACTTGGGGCTGGCTCGGAAGAGGGCTAAGGATGACTCTAGGAGGAGACAGGGAGGGAAGCGTAGGGGGCTGGCATCCCTCAAGTGCACCCGCTGGGCTGGATTGCTCCAGTGACTTCAGGGCAGCCGAGGCATTTCCCACCGGCTGAGTGAGAAATGCTCCTGGGAATCTGCTGATCTGGGTGGGTTTGAGGCTGTGGCTGTGCTAGGGTCCCAGGTGACAGCTCCCGTGCTCTCCTGGCCTCTAGAGCTCTTCCCTCTGCTTTGCCATGGCCGGGCGGCTCCAGTGAGCATGGCACAGTCTGAGCACCGATTACTAGCCCTGCACTGTGCTGCACTCTTCAGCTAAAACACGTGTGTGCTGTGCTCTGGGCTGCCCTCAGGACCCATCCGTGCCCCACAGTACTCACCACCCCAATGGAGAAGTAGTTATTGATGATGGTGGATGGGACAGGGTCTCCGTTGGCCTCTCTGTCACTGGGAATGACATCTATCTGCCAGCGGTCCAGCATCACCTCCGTGCTGTGCTCGATGTCTTTCAGGACCTTCATCAGGTTGCCTCCTTCATAGCCTGTAAGAGAAAGAAGGTGGGCGTCTGAGGAGGATGAAGGAGGACAAAGGGGAGCACAGCCATGTCACATGGGGCTGGGGGCAGTTGGGTGCCGAGCACCCAGGGCAGCCTGGGGCTGCTGCTACAGCACCAGCGAGATGCTCGGCTCATCCTTGCAGCGGTGGCAGAGATTTCAGCTAATGGCATGGCTCTCCCAGATTAAAAAGGTTGTTGGGCAGCACCCTGCTGATGGGGGTTTAGAAAGCAGCAGCTGCTTTTTTTGGCAGCGGTTAGAGGCGCCATCAGGAGGTGCCAGGGATGAGGTGCAGCCCCGAGCCTCATCCCAAGAGCCTGGAGAATCTCCCTCCCCCCCAGGACGGCACCCACCGAGCTGCACCGGATGGTCCCTGCGGGCCAGCCGCCCCCCAGGCGGTGCTCGCCCGGCCTCACCTCCTCCCCAGCGCAGGCACCGGGCCAGGTCATTGCCTGTTCCCAGGGGCAGGATGGCCACCGGCGGGTGCTTCACCAAGTTCGCCTTGTCTGCAGTTCAAGGGGAAAGAGAGGTTTGGGGCTGAAAGGGCTCATTCCCTGCTCCTCTCCATGTGCCTTAGCTGGCACCCCAGGTGGGGGGAGCCCGGGGGCAATGTTGTTGGCCCAGCTTTCGCCGGGGGAATATCAGGAATCCACGGCAGATTGCCAAGGATGCGGGCGGATGACGCTCTGCGGGAGCATGGCTGGTCCTTGCTCACCTATGCAGTCTAGGATCCAGCCCACTGTGCCATCCCCTCCGCAGGCCAGGACGCGGAAATCCGGAGTGTCCCGAAAGAAGCTCAGCCTGGAGAAAGCCAGGAGAGACAAGGGGTGACATGGGAAGCAGGGGCCGGTGGTAGGGGGCAGAGGGTCAGCCGCAGCATCTCCGTACCCCGGCGTGGGCCCGCCACGGTCCAGGTTGTACACTTGGCGTGGGTTGAGCAGGTAGTGAAATTTCCGGAGGACCCTAGGAAAAGAGAGGCGTGAGGGACGCCACACAGGTGAGTCCCGCTCCGGGAGAGGTGCCAGGGCAGCCCAAGGGACTGGCAGCTGCCGACCCCGGGGGGATGGTCTCCCCAGGCAGGACCCCACCTACCGCTCCCCTTGCCTTCCTCCACTCTTGGGGTTCACAAGCACCAGGAGGGGGTGCGTCCCAGGCTGGGGGCTGATCTGGAGGGCAGAAAGCGCGGCTGCAAATGCCTGGCCGCTGCGGGGCTCAGTGCGCACCTGCAGCAGAGCTTCCTGGCAGCCCGGCGTTGGAACCTACCTGCAGACCTTGCCCATCCACCGTGGTGGAGTTGAACTTGAAGCCTTGGTTGTCCTCGGGGCTGGTGCTGGCAGGGGAGTCGCTCTCCGATCTCCAGCAGTGGGACTGCCTGTCCTTTGGGGAACAGAGGCACGGATGCACACGCCATCCCGAGAAGGCAGCGCTGGCAGCCAGGGGAGGCAGGTCAGCCATGGCGATGCCCTGCCGGGTCCCTGCCACCCGGCAGCAAGGAGGGGGACACTTACCAGGACGACAGGGCAGATGTAGGAAGGCAGCAAGATGTGGTCCCGCAGCGGGCCCCCGTCGCACTCCGACTTCACGTGGGTGGCACATTTGTTGTGGAGCTGGAGGGGGCAGGAGGAAGGGACGTCAGGCAGGGGACACCCAGCCATTTCCTATTCATGAGCCTCTCCTCCCCCTGGGGCTGGCCATGTGGGGTGTGCTGTGGGGTGCACCCTGGGCCCCCCATGCCTGCATACTCACGGTGACTTGGCACCAGACGCAGTGCAGGCCTGTGATGCCCTGGTAGCACTTGATGCTCTTGTGGCATCTGTCGCACTTCACAGGGGAATTGCCCTCGATCCAGGTGTGCTGCATCACCTGCAAGGCATGGGGGGGGCACTGCGGGTGCAGCACCCACTGACTCGTGGGTGTCTCCTCTCCACTAAGGGCTGCCACCGTGATTTCAGAGGGTGGCTCATCGTGCAGGGACGCTGACTTGTGCTGCCCTTTCCAAACCAGCCCCTCACATGGCTGCCTTCCCTCCCTGCTGCTCCATGTAGCACATCAGGGACACCCGTCCCCCACCCAGAGCTGCGGCAAACCTCAGGGCCAGGGGTCCTGCAGGTCCCCGGGGGCTGGGGCCCACCCTGCTGGGCTCTGGATGCTGGGAATGCCCATGAGCTGCTGCCCAGGACCCAAGGGGCAAATCCCAGGGGAAAAAGCCATGGGGGACCAGGGCAGGAGACTGAGGGGCCAGCTGCTGCCGGTGGTGCTGCCTCCAGGAGGGCTCTGCGGGAGACTGGCTCAGAAACACGCTGGCCGCCTACTCACGCTCATGTTTCTCTTAGATTTCACGTAGGTGCTGATGCAGGAGGCGATATCTTTGGACACGCACCTCTCGTGGACAGTGTACTTGCAGACTGGCGGGAAAGAAGGTGGTAAGCATCACTCCCTGGCATGGGCACTGCCCCCTCCCCGCTCATCCTGAGCACCCACAGGGCTCAGCACCGATGGGGGCCAGTCCCCCCTCCCCAGGGCACTGGGATGGGGCAGGAGCCGCTGGCCTGGGCGCGTGGGGGGCCGGGACTCACAGGAGCAGCAAAGGCCCTGCTTGCGGACCCCCAGCAGCATGGTGCGGCAGAAGTTGCAGTAGGCAGGTTTCTTGAAGTGCTTCAGCCTCCAGGCATGCTGCCCATCGTCCTTCACGTTCTGCAGGGCAGGAGAATGGAGGGCGAGGGGGGTCATTCCCCCGACGGGAGTCCCAACCCGCCACTTATATTAGGTTTTTGTCCCGTAAAAGCCCCCAGTGTGTCTGCAGGAGTTTTCTCCCAGCAGGACCATGGGCTCCCTCTGCTCCCCTTCTCCCCAGTGTCCCTCAAGCATCCCTGCCGCTGCATCCCCCCGCTCCCCAGCCATGTCCGGCTCCTGGCACTTCTGGCACCGAGCTCCAGCTCCCCACAGCCCCTCGGCACAGCCCAGCTGCAGGGATGCTCTGCCGGTGGCTGACGGGAAGGAGGTGACCCCACATCTGAGGCCAGGCCACCGCCACCATGGAGTGACCAAAGCAAGCTTCTTACGTCTGGGTCCAGGCACAAGCACTCTGCAGGAGCCACTTAAAATTCCCCGTTTTCTTGAATCTTCCTGCCAGAAAACTTGCCCCCCCCCATCCCTCTGTGGGAAGTAAACACAAGAATGGGCACTGGGGAGCAAAAACCTGGATTTTCCCTGGAAACTATTACCTGATGGCCAGGGATGCACCTTGATGAAATGAAGCCCAAAAGTATGAAAAAACAACACGGAAATAAGGGGGGGGGTGTCTCAAACCACCCCATCTCTGCTCTTTGAAGCTCACCCCAGGAGAGGAGCTGGTATTCTAGGTGCCTGTCTTATTTTTGGATTAAATATTCATCGAACCAGTGTGCACTATGGATCCCAAGGAGCAAGCCCAGCCTGCCTGGGCATAGCAGCTGGCAACGACCACAGCTCAAAACTGAGCTGGTGAAGATTTGGGGGGCGAAGGCCAGTCAGCAGAGGCAGGATGGGGGTGTCTGCAGGGGTTGGGGAGCCGGGGGTGGGCGTGGGGCTGTGCGGTGCCAGACGGGCATGCGGCGTGTTGCCAGGGGTAGGGTGCCCTCCTGTGGTCCCTGCACGCCCTCCATCACTGCCCTCCCCTCCTGCTGCCACCAGCCCCAGGCTTTCCTCCGAGAGTGGGCAGGACGGCTGGATGTGGCCGAAGCAGGTCCCCGCGTGGGCACTCACTGTCTCCATCCCCAGGAGGACCAGCAAGGGGATGGTGGTCATGCCGCCCCGGATCCACTCCTCCAGCGTCACGGTCCCGTCGTGGTTGTAGTCGATCTCCTCCATCATCGCCTTCAAGATCTGGAGGAGGGATGCAGTGACTCGGCGATGCTGCCTGTGAACTCTGGCTGCCAGCTCTGGCCAAGAGCCCCTGCGGCCCTCCTGGCCACCCCAGCCCTGGCACTCACGGGCTTCAGCTCGGTGGAGTCCCACTCCAGGTACTCGGCCACGTGCACCATCTGGTTAATGATACGATCCAGCTCCTGAGCACAGAAAGACAACAGTGCCCGGTGCTAAGGGACGGCTTCAGGCACAAGCGGTGTGTCCAGCCTCACGCCTCCCAACTGGGGACATATCAGGTCTATGTCCTGCTACGGCCAAAGCTGCCCCAGGCCCCCGCCTGCACAGGGGGCCAGCAACACCCCACTTCTCAGTGGGTACTGGTTGCTGCTTTCTCCTCTGAAAATCTGCCACAAAGTCAGCAGTGGGTTTTCGCTCAGAAAAACTACTCTGATAAAACAGATTTTTATTTGCAACGGGTTTCAAGGGAGATACCCAAAGGACAAAGAGAAAACATCCCGAGGGGAGGTTGTGCATGATTTTTCCTTTTCTGAAACACCATGACCTGATGTAGAGCTACAATTACTGGTGAGCAGATTTTCTGGAGCTGCTGCTGGATGCTGCAGAGCTGGTGTGCATCCCCCAGCTCCGCTGTCTGACCCTGTAGCAAATGCTGCTGCCTTCCTCCTCCCTTCCCATATCCCTGTTTAGCTCGGAGTGCCTTGACGGGGGAGCAGGCATCCCGATAGGGCCCTGCGTGTCTCCGGCCCCCAGAGCAGCCCCTGCTTTCTCTCCCGAGGGAAGGCTTACCGAGCTGTCTAGGAGGCCGTTTCCATCAGTATCGTAGAGGCGAAACATAACTAGAGGGAGAAGAGAAGCCAGCTGCCAGTTAGAGCCCAGCCCCGGGGCACCCCGGGCAGCCAGTACTCGGTGCTGGGGCCGCCGGGGCTGCCAGGGCTGCAGGATGGGAGCAGTGCTGCAGCTCAGCCCGAGCGAGATGTGACCCGAGCCTGTACCAGGCTGCGCGGTATTGGTGTGAAGCCGTGGCACCCCTGGCTGCCTCTGCCAGACATGGGTGCCGGCAGGCAGGAGCAGAGGGGCGATGCTGAGCAGGGCCCTTTTCTAGCAATAACCCACCCAGGAGCCAAAGCCAGGTTTCCCAAGTGCTTTTAATGTTTCAGCATTAAAAAGTGAGCAGGAGCGTCCAGCCCTGCACCCCTCCTTGGGTGTACCCCCCAGGTGATGCCTCCCACCACTGGTCCCCCCTCCACACGGCGTGACCGGCAGCCTGTGACCCCAGGGTCCCACTTACACTCCAGCTTGTCCTCTGCCCGTCCCCTTTCTAACAGGGACAGGTAGCAAACGATGTCCTTCAGGTGGACCACCTGGGCCAGGGGGGCGAGGGGCGGCAGGGGAGCAGCTTTCAGGGAGCTGTGGCTCTTCCGCAGGCTGAAGGGTAACCTCTTCTCCATGCTCCTCAGGCCTGTGGGCAGGGAGGGGGGGATGAAGGCCATGCACAGGGGGACAAGGAGCCATGCCAGCTGGGACATGGGGCTGGCAGCACATGAACTCCAGGGCAGGGTCCCATTCAGCGTGGGGCGGGCAAGCTGCGGAGGATGCAGAGCTGGGTGCCATTGTGGGAGCAGGGCTGGGCACACGAAGGGAACACGGCACTGGGTGCCATCGCAGGAGCAAGGCTGGGCACATGAAGGGGACGCAGGGCTGGCGCAGGAGCAGGGCTGAACACTGCCAGTCAGTCCCCAGGGCGCAGACCTCTGCACCTCTGGCATGGCAGGTGCGGGCAAGATGAGTGGTGGGAGCCCATGGGGACATGCCCTGCCAGGGACAAGCACCCAGCCAGAAGGAGCGAGAAGCTCGGCTGGCGGCTGGGCAGCTTGCTGAGGTGCCGGGACAGCCCACGCTCGCAGCTGCCTGCGCCGGCGGCAGCCTTCGGCAGATGGCTGCTCCTGGCAGAGGGGCCATTCCCAGCACTCCCCTCGTCGGTGGCTGGCAGGAGCTTGGCTGGAGGCAGCTATGAGTCACTGCTCAGATCCCCCCTCGCTAGGAGCTGCTGCCAGGTAATTAAGACATTGACTGGCGGGGGCTCTGTGGGATGGGATCAGTGGCTTAAGCTTGCAAAGCAAAGGTGTCAAGATGCCAGGAACCCACTGAGTTTGGAAGGTCACCGCCACCACGCTGGGGACTTGACCAGCTGCACCACCAGGGCAAGGTGCGGCTCTGCGGCTTGGGAAACCGGGGAGGGCTTGTCACTGCCTGTGTTCCCCGTGGAGCCCCAGCCAAGCTCACCTGGTGACTGAGGGCTGAGCAGGGACCCAGAGATCTTTGAAGAGCCTGAGCAGTTGTGAGCAGAAGGGGTGCCGGTGGTGGACTTCTGGGAAGATGACCTGGACCAGCTGGGGGAGGTGTTGGGGATCGATGCTGGGGTGAGGGATGCTGGCTGTGGCTCAGCCACGTTGCTGTGGCAGCTCTTGGGCTCAGGAGTGTGTCGTCCCAGGGCACTTAGGAGCATTTTCCCGTTGATCCCTGCAAAGCAGACATAGGCCCGTGGGCAGTGTGACACCAGGGTGCCTGTGCCCGGCAAACCCCCTTCCTCCAGGAGCCCCGCCTGGGTGCCAGTCGCTCACCCTGGGTCCTCTTTGCTAGCCCAAAAGCAGGCTGGCATCCCGGCCCCAAGGCTCTCCAAGGGGCACTGTGGGCAGCCCCTCACCCTTCTGCCTGGCCCAGCGGCTCCCAGCAGCACTCCCGTCCCCAGGTGCTGGCCGCCACAGTGCTCGGGACCAGGCAGGGAGGACGTGGTCCCCTGCCACCATGCCCCGATGCGGCAGCCAGGCACCCAGGGAAGATTCTCCCTTTTCTTTTGCAGTTTATGGTCCTTTCAGCAGATGTCTCCACGTGCTGTGAATCCACCCAGGCAGGGGCCGGGGAAGGCAGAAGCTGGATACCCAGCACACGTCCCCTGCTCTGGGTGCAGCCATGCGCTCGGTGGCCGCCCGTGCTGGTACCTGCTGTGACAGGGGCGCAGGCCACCTTAGTCTGGATGGAGATGCCAGCATCGAGTGACTTGGGCTCTGAATGCGCGGAGGAAAGGGAGCAATCAGTGCAATGGTGCCCTGTGGGTCCCCACCCTGGGGAAAGCCCTCTCCTCCCTGGAGCAATGCAGGGTCCCTGGGAGCCTGTCTGTCAGATGGGACAGAGCTAAGCTGTGTGCTGGCCCCAATGCCACCCACTGTGGGTGCCACCCCACAACCTTCGTCCCTGTGGGGCGGCGTGGGAGTGAGCCCAACGTGCCACGGTGCCACGGTGTGTCTGGCTGGGCAGCAGGGGCAGGGCTGGCTCACCGAGGGTGTTGAGCTGCGAGACGCCGGGGCTCTGGTGCTGGGTCTCAGGGGAGGCTTGGCATATCTTACGCTTGAAGGAGGTGAAGAGGTGTTGGCAAAGCTCTTCGGGCACATCTGCCTCCAGGTAGGTCTTCATGAAGAGGCGAAAGCCCTCATAGTCAATGGGCTGGGGAGGGGACAGAGGAGGATGACAGAGGTGCCCTGAGCACGCCATGGGGGTGCAGAGCTGCCAGCAGAGGGGGCATGTCCCATGCCCTGGGTCCCCCTCACCGGGCACATCAGCTGCAGAGCCCTCCCCAAAACTGCTGGCTTCCCAAATCCCAGTGATGGGATATAACCTAAAGGGACCCAGAGGCAGCAGGGCCAGAAATCCCCAGTGCCAGCTGGCTGCTGGGGGCTGGCGCAGCTGAGCCAGGCCAGCGGTGTTGGGAGCAGGGACGAGAGCCGCAGCAGCTGGGGTAGGAGCTGGGGGAGCGGCAGGGAAGGGCAGAGCCGTGGTGGGACGGCACTTGCAGGCGCTGGGGCAGCAGCCAGCTTGCCTGCCCGAGGGTCTGCAGCCAGTGGACCCCCGCAGATGGTGGACAGCTCACTGGAGGGGCAGGAGGCTCTGACGGAGCTGGGTGCTCAGCTCCTGGCAAACAATTGAGGAACTAAATACAGACCTTCTGGCACAGCCAAAGGAAGCTGGGGGTGTTGGAGGAAGAAGGGTGTAATGAGCTGTGCTCTGAAAGCCTCCCGCTCCCCCGGGGCAGGGCACAGAGCAGTGGGACCCTCTGACCCACCCCCAGCCCCTGGGGACTACCATCCTCCCGAGGTCTCCTCACCTCCTCCTTCCCTGCTGGGCATCCCCATCACATCGGGACATTGCCTTCCCAATGGCTTTTGTAGCCCCAGCTGAAGCAAGGGTCCCGTGGTGCCCTTGAATAGCAGGGTAGTTTTGCTGCCCCTCCTCGCTGCATTCAGCCCACTGATTTTTTGTTTCGCCTCGTTTCTAGTGATTATGGCCCCTGTGAAAGGCTCTGTCTTGCTGGCACACTAATAGGTCCCTCTGAAAGCACCGCTTAGAAAAAATAAACCCAGCCTTCCCCAGGCAAAAGCGAGAAGGCATAGGGCCTTCCCCTGTCCCTGCGCTGGCAACAGCAAAATCATTTGCTTTTGGGGAAAGAGAGAGTAAATCCCTCCCGGCTTCTGCCTGCCAAGGAGATGCCCCAAAACGCTCTCAGCAAGGGAGCCTGCAGCCAGCACAGGACGGCAGTGCGACCACAGAGTCCCGGGAGCATTGGTGGGATGGGGTGGGATGGCCGTGCGGCAAGCCTGGTCCCCGGGATGGCCAGGGGAGGATGTGGTTGGGGGCTGGGAAAGATGCTCCCCATCTGTGGGAGCATCTTTCCCAGTCCTGGGAGCACGACCATGGGGAGAGGCGGGGGGGCGGACAGACAGATCTGCCTTCTCCTGGCTGCTTTTAGCTGCGGGAGCTGGGCTGAGGGAGGCCAGGAGCTGCCAGCAGCATGCGGGAAGACTGGAGGGGACAGGGCCATACCTGTTCAGGGTTGTACCTCGAGAGGACGCCATCCCCGTGGAACTCCTCCAGGACATCCTTGAGCTTCTTGGTGGAGTCTGGGGAGACAAAGGCATCGCACTGAGCATGGTGCCGGCGAGCCCCCTTCGCCGTTAGACCACCATTCAGGATGGTGGAGTCAAGTTTATCTGCTGGATACACAATTTCTGGTCCCCTCCATGCCTGGGAAGGGGCCACCCGTGCCCTGCTTTTCCCTCCCCCTTTGGAGTGCAGGTAAAGCTTGCCAGCAGAGATGGGTTCTCTTCCTCCTACCTATATGAAAATAAATGCAGACCCAGAGCGAAGCCACGGCGCTGGGCAAGGAAAGCCCGGACCACTCCCTGGTCCCAGCTGCTCCGGGGGCAATGCTGAGCACAAAGCCTGGCCGTCCCTGCCTCGGCCCCTCCACACAGGCTTTGGGTGGCTGCCCCCACGCTGAGAGCTTGTGCCTGCTCAGCAGCCTGAGCCATCCCTGAAGCCTGCCCTGGGCTGCTCATCAGCATCTCCAGGAGGTGCAGGAGGGAGAATGAGAAGGGTATTGCTCCATGCAAACCTCCACACAAACAGTAAATGGCCCATGAGTTCTCCTGGCTGGGTGTCCTCAGTGCTGGAGTGGCTGGAGGGACATCAGTCCTTCCAAAATTGAGAAATAAGGGAAAACCAGAAAAAAAGATCAAGGGGAGGTAACATTAAGCCCTAACCTTCAGACACAGATCTCTGGGCATGTCCATTTAAAAGGTGCTCAGACATGCCAGCCCTGTTAACTACTGTGAAATCCTCTCCCCAAGCAGGGGGTTGTGCTGGCTGCTGCTCCCCCCAGCCCTCCACTGCGGATGGAGCTTGGTGCTGGACCACGAGTGTCCGGGATGCCTGGGGCAGGTCTGGGGGTTGCAGAGCACAACTCGGGGACAGCATGCACTTGAGGAGGGGGCTCCTGGCCCCAGGGCTGGGGAGGACCTGTGGGAGGACCCCTGAGCCCTGCTCCCCAGCCTGGTGCCAGGCCACCCTCCCAGGGAGGAGGCAGCTGCCCACGCTGCAGCCTTGCTCGCCAAACTTTGATTAACGAAACGAAGACACCGTACATGTTCTGAGCTCAGCATTACAGATGGCGTTTTATGGTCTGTGATTCAAGAAAGCAGAGCCCGTTCTCCGGAGAGGCAGGATGAGATGCAGACAGTGATGCTGTGCACACACCTCTGCTCGCAGCCCTGCCTGCACCTGCCTGGGATGTCTGGCAGGCAGGCAGGAGGCAGGGAACAGCTTGCACTGAGCTGTTTGGATTCAGAGACCGTGCCTCCCTGCGCTGTCAGCCCTGACACGGTTCGCCTCACCCCTATGATGCGCAGCATCATGAGGACAGCCCCAGGGGGCTCATGGGATCTCCTTTGCCTCCCAGTCCTCTCCCACACAGCTGCAGGAGCCTGCTCATCCTGGGGTTGTGCTGCCCCTGCAAAGCGATGCCCCTGAGATTTTACACCCCTTCTCCCTTCATCCCACAGCCCTGGCTGGGCTTTTCTGCCCATCCTGCCCTGCTCTCAGCGCCTCCCTGGGCTGCACCACTTCTCCATTGCCTGCCGCAAGGAGCACGCCCGCACGCTGGCTCTCCAGCAGGCAGGACATCAAGGACCTGGTTTTGGACCCCTGGGCTTTGCCCAGGCTCCCTTCGCAGCTGCTCACAGCCCCAGGACCCCATGGCACTGCCGCCAACCTCCTCTCCTCGGCAGGAGCTGCAGGAGAGGGTTGCTCTGCAAAAGTGCTAAGTAAAATTACCACAGAGGGCTGGCAACCTGAGGCGAGCCGTGGAGCAGCTCTGCGTGTTTAGGAAAAGCCAATCTGCTTTCCTTGCTGGCATTTCGCTTTGCTAACGAACGTGGGAGCTGGCCGCCTTCGGAGGGACCGAGCTGTGCTCATGTGTGCGTCCCCCAAAGCAGGGGGGGCTTGTGCTCAGCTAAATCCTCCTGGGCACGCAGGCATGGGGATTCCTCTGCCATGCCCCACCAGCCAGTGCTGAGGGTCAGGGACCTTCCCAGCCTCCCCATTCAAAACCTAAGAAGTCATCTAGTTCTCCAGGACATCAAGGACGTGTAGGACACCAGTCCGGCACAGATCAGCAGGACTTTTAAAACCCCTCTCCCTGTCCCAGTGGGATGTGTGGGGGGCGCAGGGTACTCACAGTCCGTGTACTGCTGGAGCTGGGCAAACTCGGTGGGGCTAAGCGAGATCCACCCACCATCACTCATCTTTGGGTGGCAGGGCCCGCCTGGGGGGGGCCACGAGCCACTGCGCTCCCCGTGCTGGGCTTGGCGCCACAGGTCCCAGCCAGCTGCTTGGTCACATCGGCATTGTGAGGGGTATGGGGGGCTCTCGGACAGCTGGCATCATCCCGCTGAGCCCGTGGGCAGCAAACCCCAGAGCCAGGAGCAGCCGGTCAGCACCTTCCTCCCTAGAGTGAGGACAGAAAGAGAGGAGGGGGTCAGCGGTGCCCTGCCCGCGGCAGGCAGAGGCTGGCTCCTGTCTCCACAGGGTACCCTGCCATGGCTCCCCCCCGGGGGAGAGTCGCCTGCAGCAGTGGTGGTCACTGGGGCTGGCACAGGGGGTGCATGAGCTTGGAAATGGGGTGCAAGAGTGCTTTCCCAGCTGGGGAGGGCCCCCTGCCGTGGATGTGGGAGACCCCTGCTCCAGGTGCCCCACGGGAATGGAGAGGGGAGTGTGTCAGCTGCAGTGGGGGGCTGGCAGAAACGGGGGCGAGTGCAAGGAGGAAGACAGAGCACCTTGCCTTGTGACCGTCCTCGGAGCCCCTCTGCCATGGAGCTGGCATGGTGCCACCTGCAATGGCCACAGCTCTCAGCGACTGGAGGGTGTGGCTCGATAGAGGCAAGGCAAATGCCGCGGCAGAGAAAGGAGCTTGTTGCCTTATTTACCCCCAGCATTTTCCAGGGGAACCCAGCATGATAGGAGCAGAAGGAAGGACACAATTAATTAGAGAAGACGCAGTGCCTGGAGGCAAGGGATCTGAACGAGAGGAAACTCCCAGCTCGCACCTTCATCTCCAAAGCTGGTGGTGACCTTTAGCTGGCTCCACCGCCGAGAATTATTGTAAATGAAAATCTACATTCAAAATTGGGTGAGAGGGAACCTGCTTGGGCTGGAAAAACCTGTGCTGCAGAGGAAATGTCAGAAGCGGCCCTCTCCAGCCCATCCATTTGCAGGCTTCAAAATCGATTAGCTTCTTCACTTAACTGAATCAGTCATGGGGGGAAAGGGCAGCTTCCCAAGGAGGTGGTTGTTCTTCAAGGAGCAGAGGAGAGCAATTTGATCTCGATTTTAGGACCATCTCCTTGCTAAATGTTGCCTCCCGGTTTTCACCAGCTTGAGCTGACGGACTGGAGAAAGCGGAGCACGGGCGAGCTGGGAAAAGCTGCGCAACTTGGGGCGATGCTCGGGGAGTACCCGCACCCCCCGCAGCTGGCTGGGCTGCCCATAGTGCCTTTTCATTCATGGGAAAAGGCATTTGATTAAGGTGAATGAGTCATTTTGGGGAGCTGCCGGGTCGCACATGCCACACAACCCCCAGCCAGTGTCCCTAGGGACAGTCGCACACAGGGTGCAGCAGGGGCAGGCACTTAACCCCTCATCCTCAGGATTTCCACCACAGCCCGTCTCTGGGATAGACCTTCTTCACCCCAACCACACAGGGCAGCCCCAGTGTCAGCAAGGAGATGTGACCACCTTCATGGGGCTTTTGGGATGCGATCAGGGAAGCATTGCTGCTCAGTCCCCAGCAGAACCAATTTTCTTTACTAATGTTATTTTGGCTTTAACTCCAGCCGCTGCAAGTACTCCAGGGCGAGACATGGCCCAAGGGCAAAGCCCCGTGTTGTCGGAGGAGGGAGTGTGTTGTCGGAGGAGGAAGTGCTGCAAACCCCTCCTCGCGGCTACGGGGAGGACGGTGACCCCTGAGTGAGCAGCACAGGGCTGAGCACACACCCGGATGGCTGCCGAGGGCTTTTCCAGCCACGGGGAGTGACTGTTCATCTGGAGAGAAGCCCACCAAACCCCAGGCGCATGTTTGCTGGAGTTAAATGACACAGGTTGTGCTTAGTCCTGCTCAGCCCTTTCCTTCCGAGAGCAGCCAGGAGCTGCAGCTCGGAGCACACCCTGCTTCACTGCCAGGGAGCTGCTCCAGCCCTGTGCTGTGTGGGGCCAGCCGGCAGGCAGAGGGGATTTGCCTCATGGCAAATTTTGCTGGGTATGAAGCTGTGCCCTGCTGGGGATGCTGCTGCCCGAGGATGCTCTCCAAGAGCTGGGCAGATGCTGCTGCCCAGAAATGCTCCTGCCCCTCTCCCCCGTGGCTCTCCCCTCCCTCTGCTAGCAGGAGACAGCCCCGGGGGGCATAGCCGCTGGGGCTCTTGTCCTCAGCACTCCTGTCCCATGGCCTGGGGCTTCTTGGCTGCAGCACAACATGGCTCTGAGGCTGTCAGGAGTGCAGTGGGGGCTGAGCTGGCAGGGGCTTGGGGACCGCCCGAGATGCTTCTGCTGCTCCTGCCTGGGGTGGAAGCGGGACGGCTACCCCAGGGCTGGGGGGGATGATGCCATGTGCCCGCACTGCTCTGCCCTTGGGTCACTTGTGTGGGGACAACACACAACCCAAGGGAAATGTCACCTCCCCACCCCATGGCAACTTGCCTCCAGCCTGCGGCTGTCCCAGCTCATCCCGGTGGCTCTTTGTCCCCATGCCACCAAATGGGGACAAAGCTGGACACAACTGTTTTAGGGCTAGAAAAAAATACCCAACGTCTTCCCACTCTGGCATTGGTTTTCTGGGGATCTTCATCTCGGGGAAAGGACAAGCAGGAATATGGTGTTTGCACCTTTCCAGGATGAAGGGTTTGTCTCGAGGTATCTCTGAGGCGAGTGCAGAAGAACTCAGTCTGTAAGAAACCCTCCAGGAGTGCACACAGGCTTTCTGTTTCCTAGCAAATGAGCTGTTTGGCTTGACCAGAACCTTTTTTATCCTAAATTTATATAAGGAGAGGCTGAGAGAGCAGAGCTAGCTCAGCCTGTAGAAGAAAAGGCGAAGGGGGGAACCTAGCTGGCTCCAGCTGCCTGAAGGAGTTCGGGGGCACCAAGTCCTCCCATGATGGATGGCAGCAAAAATATCCTTTGCTTCTTTTAACGGTGGGTTACGGGGCAGCACGAAGCAATAGAAGGAAAGCAAAGCAGAGCTAATTGGGCCATCCCAAGGGGCTTTCCCCCAGCAATTGCTGCAATAACAAATGCCACTTCTGGTACGTCAGCCTTGGATTTCAGGAATGGCAGGAAAAAGCCTCCTTAGGAATCCAGCTGCTGCTTGTTTGGCCGCCCTCTGAATTGTCAGTGGCAAATTATGTTCTATTAAATCAAATTTGCCTCTCTCTAAAAATAGCTCCCCTACTAGTGTTACAAATAACACCAGATTACCCTGCCTGAAAGCGCTTACCGGGACGTGGCCACTCTCCCCCTTCTCGTTCCGTGCCTGCCAGCCATGCGCGTGGGCTTTGCCGTTCTGCCGGCACTGGCGGTGCGGTGTGACTCAGGGCAGCTGAAGTGGCCAGGGGAGGATGGAGAGGGGGGAGCCAGCAGGGCTCCGAGCACCTCCCAAACCCTCCCGGGGGATTAGCTGGTGCCAAAGCCCTCGGGAAGCCCCCGCACAGAGCATCCTGCCAGCCCTGGGGCCGGGCAAGGGAGCTGAGGGCTTGGCAAGGGGTGATGAAGGAGGCGCCACAGGGAGCATCTCCCAGTGCGGGCAGAGGCACAGCTCGGTGGAGGGCCCGGCCATGTAGGGCAGGGCTACCCTGCCTGAAAGCGCTTACCGGGACGTGGCCACTCTCCCCCTTCTCGTTCCGTGCCTGCCAGCCATGCGCGTGGGCTTTGCCGTTCTGCCGGCACTGGCGGTGCGGTGTGACTCAGGGCAGCTGAAGTGGCCAGGGGAGGATGGAGAGGGGGGAGCCAGCAGGGCTCCGAGCACCTCCCAAACCCTCCCGGGGGATTAGCTGGTGCCAAAGCCCTCGGGAAGCCCCCGCACAGAGCATCCTGCCAGCCCTGGGGCCGGGCAAGGGAGCTGAGGGCTTGGCAAGGGGTGATGAAGGAGGCGCCACAGGGAGCATCTCCCAGTGCGGGCAGAGGCACAGCTCGGTGGGAGCCAGGGCCCGGCCATGTAGGGCCTGAAACGCTCACGTCAACAAGGGAGATGCCAGGCTGAAGCTGGCGATGGGCCAGTCCCCACCGGTGAGCAGGGCCTGGGCCGGCAGCGGCAGGGCCAAGCCATGGGCAGTGGGCACGTCTCAGTATCCACGAGAAAGGGCTGCCCACAGGCACCCCCAGTGTCCAGGGCTGGGGGGGCTCCTGGGAGCAGTGATGGGAGGGCAGAGGAGCTGTTTTTCCAACCAGCCACCCCTGCCCACGAGCCTCCCAGCCATCCCCTGGCCACCTGGCGCTGCCGAGGATGAAGGACCCAGCTCCTGGGCTGCTCCCCGGGCACACAGCACAGTGCCATGGGGCTCGCGGCAGGTTTGGGAGGGCTTGTTCCACCAGCACCTGCCTGCCCTCTCTGGGACCAGAGATAGCGATGGAGACCTAATTCTGCCCAAGCTGGGGCAGAGCAACTGTGGGTGGTGGGATGGCAGCCTCCAGGTGCTGGCAGAAGAGTGGACACTCTTGCAGAGCCTCCAGCCTTCGGACTGGCTCTGCAGGGGCATACAGTGGGGCTGCAAGCGCATGCCCTGCCTGCAGGAGATTTCTGCTTCAGATGCCCTTTGGGAAGGAAAAATCTTGGCTCCTTGAGCTTCAGGAGATGGCATAGGGAGGGAAAGCTCCTGCTGTGCATATGCACACTTGTATGTGCAGAGACTGTAGCTCTCCGACAGCAGTGGGGTACAGCACGGCCTGAAGCCGGGCTCTTCCCTGCATCCCTGGTTGGGCCTGCTGAAAGCCAGTCACTCGCAACATCTTCTCCCAGGGCAGAAGCACAGTGGGTCCCTGCAGAAATGGCATTTTCCAGCCCGCCCGCCCCATCTTTTGGAAAGATCAGCCTGTTTTTGTGTTGGGCTGGGGAGAGGCCCCTGAGACAGTGGGTGGAGTGTAAATCCCTCCTGTCCCACTGCAGCAAACTAACCCAAACCAAGTCACGCTCAAACTATTTTCTGCAATGACAGGAGAACGCACTTTTCTGGATTTTGCCAGCCTGAGAGGACACTTGGGA